TGAAGCCACTTAACCCTAGCATTTTGAGCCCACATAATTTACTCTTCCTGTAAAACTTTGTTAAGCTCACTTCTAATTTTAACCTCGTCATCCATACTTATAAAATTATCTTGATCCCTTATAATTTTATTTTAAATATCACATATAGAGGTAAAAGCTTATCTTTACATTCTTTGACATTACCAAAGGTCTCTTTGTTCCACTTCCTTACCAAATACTTGAATGTCTTTGCACAAGCAACAAACGTTTTTTTATGGCCTTGAAGTATTTGTACAAGTCCAAGCACTGTTGACAAAATTCCTAAAATTAGGATGATGTAACCAATAGCTTCAAACTTGAAGGAATAAGAGCCTTTTCTAACAGGGTTTTCATTATTAGTTAGTAAGATAGGATTATGATCCGATCCAAAGATAGGAAAATTATGTAAAGAAAAGTCATGGAACTCCCTCAACCACTAAGGATTAGCAACAGCACAACCAAGTCTCTCATAAATTCTAGTGTTGTCACTATGACCATTGGTCCAAGTATAAGGAACACAGGAGGCAGTTAGGAAAATCAAGTCACCCCTATTTAGAAAATTAATGAAGTTATTCATGTAGGTAGTAGTATTAGAGCAGCGCCCCCCCCCCCCCCCCCCAAGCTTTTTAGTAGAGTCCACAATTGAAGTCTCCAATTAAACACCAATGATGGTTTGTTGGTGTATGAGCTAAAATTTGATCCCAGAGATTAGCTGGTAAATGTTTATGAGGATAAGCATAAACAAAGGTAATGAATTACACCTTATCATTATGTAAATCTTTAACTACACAGTGGATAAAACGAGGTGAAGAGCTTAAAGTAGTAATATTAATGGAAGAAGAGTTCCAGAACAAACAAACCCCACCAGCTCTGCCAGTGGGATTACAGCAAAAAACTTGATCAAAGTGCATACTGTAGAAATTGCTTTGGACCTTGTCTATAGACATCTTAGTTTCAAACAAGCAAAAAAGGTCCAACTTAATCAAAGTACACAAAAAATTAAAATTACTACTTAAATCAGGTCTCCCAAGACCCCTACAATTCCATACCATGCACTTCATTGATCAATAATTTTAAGCTCTCAAAACAAACAGAATTAACAAAAGAACTCAGTTTACCTCAGAAATTCTTCGAGATTTAAAAGGACGCACCCAAAGTGGAAAACCAAGCTTGAACAAAACAAACTAACTTTTCCCCAACCTAATTTAACAAAGCCAAGAAAAGCCCCAAATTTTTGAATAACTATTTGGGCCCAAAATATTGGTGTGGGCTAAGTTAGGAGTTGTTCTCGGCTTGGCAGTATGTTTCTAGAACCATTGCGAATTCTAGTTATTATAGGCCACTTGGGCCGAGTCCTAGCATGAGGCGGATTGATGGGGTAAGTCGAATCCTAGTATAACAAAGAGTCTCAATGGAATGAGGATGATAAGATTCGAGAATGAATGTGGCCGGATAAAAAGGTTGGTTCAAAGTCCTAATGGAGGTAGGATTGGCCGAGACCTGGTTAGATTAGGTTAAACAATCCTAATCCGAGTGCAATTTTGGTTCAGCCATGATGAGATTGGCTGCTATAAATAAGAAGGAGGTGCATCATTCTAAAGCCCTTCCAATTCAACACACAAACTGCCCTACACAAACTCTCGCTCTACACGAAACCTCTCAACAACCTTGAGATTTTTATTTTCGTTTTTTGCCAACACATCTTCAATTTGGATAAATAACACTGTGAAGGCAACCGGTGATATCTTCAGTTTGGATAAACAACATTGTTGCCGTAAAATCAACTGACCCCAGAGCACTTTCAGTTTAGATAAATAGCACTATGTCGAGGTCGACTGGTTATCTACCCAAGTCTCAGCCAAGAAGGATCTTCGAGTTCTTGTTGGCAGAGGTCATCTCATTAGCCTTCTCGGTGAAGTGAAGTGTCACAAATTACTGGGCTCGGCACTTTGAACGCCGAGTTGTTTTATGATTAGATACTCACAAGTAAGTTTTAGAGTTTGGCATTCTAACAGTCGAACCACGTTTACCATCAAGACATACATCTCTTTTGAGTACTTGTGTCCATATAGTTTGGTACCGGTTCAGCGTGCTTATACTCTTACGAATATAACCATTGTAACTGAACCCAGAGCCAATGATCAGTGAACTTTGCAAGACTAGCAGCCTTGTCTTCAGGCTCTAGAATCCGAAGGCAGAGACGTGTTCCTTACTCAACCGCCGTTACAAGAACAAGAAATTAGCAGTACGCTCAACGCAACATTAACACATTTTACTCCTCGGCCGAGCTCGGCTGACGAGTTGGCACGCCCTGCATCAACTGAATGACGTAGTTAGCTTATTAATTACTCGGCCTGCGCGCCACGTAGGCTTGGTAGTTTTTAGGGTCAACATTTTGGCATGACCATTGAGACACCGTCAGTAAAAAAGAAAATAGGGATGGGTAAATCAGCGACTAACCTTCCACCTATGGTCCAAAACTCAGATCATGATGGCCTGTTACAAGCACATAATCCTCATGCTGCCATCACACCCGAAGCTACAAGTGCGACACACCGAGAAAAGGAAGTTAGTCTCGGCGGATAGGCTCACGATGCGGAGATCACCACCAAAGCGACAAAAGTAATTTTTGTCGAGGGAATAATTAAGGACTGCGATGAGGATAGTGGCGAAGGTTTTGATCCACCAACTAGATTGTTTCTCCGGAGAAGACTGAAGAGTAAACTTAGAATTTTAGTCGAAAAGTAAAAGGCATACTTGAGGTAATACGCAGTAATGGCGAGTCACACAACAAATTGCTTGAACTATTGGTTAGTAAAGTTTATAAAGGTGGACCCGTTGATCGTTCCCAACAACTTCCACTTAAGAGTAATCCGTTATTAACGATACAGGCTGAGACAAGGTCTTCTTGGCTCAAAATGATCTACTTGGAAAAAAAAGGAGGATCAAGCAAGTAGATCAGACAGATCCGACCAGAGAGAAGAAACAACTTCTTTCGATGTGATCGAGGTCCAAAGAATGATCGATTCGGCCTTGAAAAAGGGGTCGAAGTTTCCGAAATTCATCCATCCATACCCAGCTTATGTAGAGAAGTTTGAATATCCTAAAGGCTTTAAAATCCCAGATTTCAGCCTTCTTGCTGGAGAATCGTCCTTGTCCTCGTTAGAACATATAGCACGGTTCACTGCACAATGCAGAAATGTTAATAGTGAATTCCATAAACTGTGACATTCAACTTCTCGTTGGCAGGCTCGATATTTGAGTGGTACATCAACCTCCCACCTAATTCGATCCAAAGTTGGGAGGAACTGGTCGAAAAATTCCATGAACAATTATATCGGTCGGGGATGGAAATGTCAGTTTCATCACAAGCTAAGATGGCTCAAGCATCTAACGAGTCGCCAATGGAATACTTAACAAGGTTAAGGTCAGCCAGAAATTGGTGCTGAGTACCTCTCCCTAAAGTTGAGTTCGTCAGAATCGCTCTGAACGGCTTGGATATGGAGTATAAAAAGAAATTCTTGGGGGCAAACTTCTGAGATATGTATCAATTGGCCTAGCACGTCGAGCAACATAATTATTTGCTCTGAGAGGAAAAGATCTTGAAGTCCCCATCTCGGGGAACAATTTACAAGAATCCAATGGTTAGCTACCCATCAGCCGAAGACGAGGATTCCCAATACGCCAGTGTGGACACGGCCGAGATAGTGATAGATAAACTGTACATATGCAAGGCATTGGCTCAAATTAATTCCAAAGATGCCAAAACCCACTGGGCCTCTGAAGAGACAATTAAAACATCAAAAGTTTACACTTTTGATATCACCAAGGCCGATGCAATTTTCGACCAGTTGTTGCTGGCAATGATCATCATACTTCGGCCGAGGACATAACATTCCCAAGGTCAAAGAGCTGAGAGGCAAAACGTATTGCAAGTACCATAACTCGAATAAGCATACCACAAACAACTGCGTCGTGTTCCGTGATGCTGTTCAAAGCTGGATTGATAAAGGCAAGCTAAAATTTTCCAGTCCACTATAAGAGTGCGATTTCTTTATGAGTTAAATATGTTGATATCACACACTTTTTCTCCCTATTGGGGAAGGCCTAAGTAGAGCAATCTACATTACACCTTTAAGGTTTGAGGTGATTAGTAAAATGGGCCACAAGATTATAATCTTCCCACACTGCAATTTGAAGTCTGAAGTTTTGAAATTGTACCAATTTACTCTCTAAATATCTAATCTTTTATTAAATTGATGGCTTTTTTTTTTTGTGAATGTGGTGCAAATGTGACTTATACGTTAGCCCATAAAAGATCTCACACTCAACAAATCATCACTTTAATGAAAGGTAAACAATTGATCCTACCAAAGGCATAAATTGATAAAAATTTAATACCTTCTATTGTAAATAACAAGGGAACTGTTATTAACCTTTTAAAAATTTTAATGTGCATTTCTCAAAGTGTACTTTTCTTTTTAAATATAGAAAGTTTGGTAAGATTTTTGGAGTGTCAATAACAGTTCCCAATAAGAAAATTGATCCCATTTTCAAAATCACCCCAAACTTCAAGGATGTGCAATGTAATTGGCCCTAAATAATTTAGATACACTCACCATTTTTGCAAACAAAAACATTAAATCCAAAAAGAATACCAAACAGGTTCTTAAGACCCAACTGAAACTCTGTTGAGCTATTGAAGGTAGAGGAGAATTGCTTTCCATATTGATGAGGTTAGAAAAAGGATTAGATGTGAATTGAACTTAAAAGATTGTTCCTTACAATAATCCCTTATACCAACCGAGCCTTATAAGTCTATGGGAAAAGCTTGCAGCAAAATTTACGTCCAAAGCTGTCATAAGACTCAATTAACCAAATTTCGGCCATGTCTTGTTAAATTACTTACTCATTTACACCAAAAGAAAAGCATGTCCAATTAAAAGAACTAAAGGCACAGTTACTCAAGGCCGCACGACATGTTCCTCAAAAAATAATAATTGCCCATTTTAACAAGATGCAAAAGAAAGACGCACCAACATAAAGCACATGAGGAAGAATAATTTATCTCTCATACGCCCATCTTAGTCCAAGAGTTTCACTATCCTTGCACCAAATAGTATACATCAAGGGAACGCTAAAAAAAATTATGATGTCTTACGTAACCGGAAAAAGGAAAATGGAAAAACAAACCTAAGATACGCAAAGGCTGCCGGAGCATAAACACGCCAGGAGTGTTAGGCGGAGTTTTGTATGACACAAGGAAAGTGAAAAAACGCAAGTCGTTCTCGTTTAGGCCTTGTGCATTTTTTCTACATATGCCTGCAGCAAAAGTGAATACAAATACTGTAAGAAACATTGCCACAGAATCCACTAACTACTGGAAATTTGTAACAGAGGAAAGAGATGATAAACAGGATACGACAAAGCTTCAAAGTGGAAAATGAAGAAACAGCCTAGTTATATCAATTCCAAATTACTATCCACGTACTAAACTCCGGGGGTTAGAAATTATAGAGTGCAATGCTGTATTGGAGCAAGACATTAGAGGAAAAAAGAAAAAAAATTAACTTCAAATGAACACGACTACATTCCATGTCACACGCTGCTGCCTTCATCTTATGAGTTTTAAATTTCAAAAATACCCCTTCGGCATAACTCAGAACCAACCATTTCTTAACATGAATAAATAGTAAGATTTCATATCATCAGACACAATAGAAACTAGTTACAATGCAAATTCAACTTAAGAAAAGTTTTGGTGGGGATTACACAAAAAACCACCAGAATTGCCACCGGCAAAGAAAAATGTAAAAATCTGAGAATTTGCCTCACGCAACTTTCCATGAAGTAGGTCTATAGACATAACCTGGACTTTTTCTCCGCATACCCAAATGCGTCCAAGCTTATGTTAGAGAGCAGGGGGTTTCGAAGGGAGGGAGTGATGACACTCTGGGGGAGGAGTAGAGAAATGGAGAAGAAAGAGCTTGACATTTTCAAGCACCCATTCAAATTCTTTTTTCAAAGAAAAGAGTACAGAAAAGAGAGGAGATGGAGAAGCGAAGAAGAGAGAGGTAAGAGTTAGGAATATCATTTAAAAATGGTCATGGGAGCTGCATGTGACCTTATTTAACAAAAATGCAGACAATTATACAGAGGTGCCACATTACTACATAGCAAAGTCTAAATGTAACATTGTCAGGAAACAAAAGAACGAAGCAATTTGCACACGCCCCTAATATTCCAGCCTTAAGTGAAAGAATTTTGAATGGAAACATGCATGGACCTCATACGTCTAGACATGGGTTGAATTTTGAATAAGTATAATATATACAGTTAATTGTTGGAATTTAGGGTTTTTATATGAGTTATCAGTTTTCTTGTGGGTCAAGGATTAGAATTTATTGTCCGTTAAGTTTAGATGTCTTTTGTTTTGCTTTAGTATTCTCCTATGAAAGCATTGATTATATCGACAACATATCGATTACATATCCACATTCGGCACAAGAGAAAAATCTGTATGTTACCTATACACGGATTCTGTGACATATCATTTCTTTATAAAAACATCAAAGAGTCACATCCATTGTGTTTTTTAATTAATCTTAACGTAAGTAAATGTGCTTGGTGTTTTATTGTCGTTGCACCTTCCAACCTAACAAGCAAAGGCCTTGACCTCTGTCCCGAACCCGGTTATTCAGGTTCTATTTCTTGGCTTCGTATTGTTTTTTGTGTTGGACAAACATAAATTAGTTAAAAATCAAAGTTCACATACGAATCAACAAACAAACAGATATATAATACTATGAAATACGAAATTAAGAATATTATTAATTAAACAAGAATGTTGAAATGACTACAAATTGAAGACTACATTTTGACTAACTTATTTTGAAATAACGAATACAAAACTCCTATTATCACCTTTCTACAGACACAACAAAAAACAAATAAGAAATCACAGACTCACAATGGTGCGTAAATGGAGAGAACCTAGAGAAGGAATAGAAGGAAAACATGACCTGAAATACGTTCAAAAAGGGAATTTTAGATGTATAATAAATATTTCCTTTTTAATCGAAAACAAATTTTCATTAAGAACAAAGAAAAAGTACAAAGCAATAGACTCATCCACAGGACTAGCAACCTAAAACCAGAACCAGTACAGGGGAAAAAGACACTCGTTAAAACTGTATTCCATTTGAGAATAAAAACATACGCCAGCAAGTATTCCTAAACAAACGAGAGAATGCAGCTAGAATGAATTAATCAACATTCAACACTAAACAGCACTAACCTGTACAAGTTTAGTAAGCTTTGGTTTTGAAAATGATAGATAATGATCAATCTTCTCTTGGGTCTGAGGAATATTAGCCCCCTGCATGGTACTGGTCACTTTATCAACCACCTTCTTCACTATAGTTTTGTAAGCATCTTTGCTGACTTGACCTTCTTTCCATGAGGGTTTTAAAAGCTCCTTAACGTTTTCCACAAGTGCAAATTTGAATGCACGACTCCCCTTCACTTCCTTGAGTTTCTTGCCCCCGTCAGCACCATCTTTTTCTGTGACCTCCATGGGACCATTAACTGGGGAATTATTTTCTTCCTGATCGCTCTTGATTTCCTCGGCCCCAAGTTCACCATTTCCCTTGACAACCTCAGGTTTTGCACCACGCTCCAGCTGACTTAACTGATGATTCTTATGAGTGGGTTCTTGTACTGGATTATTAGTCTGATGATAATTGTTTGTATTTGCTCCGCTAGGTAAAGACGATGGAGATACAACATTTGACAATTTCTCTACGTTTCCATCAACACTTGTGTTTCCAGCACTATTTGGCAAAAGGCACATTTGATTGTTATTAATTCTATGTTCTATGCTATCACATATAGGATCATACGGCTTATGAGATAACATGGCTGGATCAGGGCTGAAAAGTTGCTCCCAAAAGCTGCTCAGAAGATCCTTCGGATTTGGGAAGGAGAGTTGGGGTACTCACCGCATTATGAGAATTTAAAGCAGCATAAATCTGTGGAAGTTGCTGCCGATTTCCAAGTAACTGAGCCAGAGAGGCTGAAAGATTGGTAAGTTGCTTAAGTTCTTTACCACCGACCAAACTTGGAACTTGAGGAATTCCATCAACTAGTGAAGTTTTTGCATCACCTATATCTAATTTGTTCACAGATTTACCCTCTGGGGACAGTGTATCATGCGGACTTTTTACAATTCCTCTGCCTGGAATTAGTGTTTGACTTTGCCCAATTGTGCTCAATCCTGAAAAAGGAAAAGCACTTGAACTCTGGCCACTGTTGTCAAAACTTTGGCAGCCCACAATATTTGCAGTAACACTTAGGTTATTACGAAAACTAGAAGGTTCTTCAATGGCACTCCTATTGTCATAAGGCAAGGAAATAACTCCATCTCCCCTCAGATCCTTGTTCTGCAGAAAATCAGATCTTTCAGCTATCTCTGGTTCAATAATTGAAGCAGCACCATGTACCAGAGTTGAAGGTTCTGAACCTTGCGTAATGCGACCATGCTCTTGTTTCCCAACATGGTTGGAGGATTGCACCGTGTAATTCCAATCAGGAGACATGTCACCAAGCCATTTTTCAGTATCTCTTGATTTGGGAAGATCCACACAAGCACCCACATTATCTTCCTTCCACAGATTTGCATCCTTCTCATTCCTTTCAGCTGCTTCATGATTAACATTACGGTCAACACAATTTTTGTTCTCATCGTTCCGATCGCAACCCCATCTATTATCATCCACAGACCAAGCACTAGACCGTACCTCTGGAACACCAATATTTCTGTTATCTACAGTCAACATTGGGGCATCTGACAGAGTCACGGTATCACTCCATTTTGGACCATTCCATGCTGGGCCTGCATCATTTAAACTGTGACCCGGGCCCCACCGGACATCCTTTGACTTTCTTTCAGGACTTACATAAGCTTGAATATGATGAGAAAACCGACAATACTTTTTATTACGACAATTTCCCGCAGCAAAAAATTTGCAAGGAATATCGCCACTTCTGTGTGGTACACGCTCAGCACCTCGCTCTGTAGAAGTATCTCTGTTCCTTCTTTCATTTTCCCTTTCTCTCGTATTCTCAATTGTAGAACCTTTGCTGAATCCATCAGAAGGACGATGGTGATCGAACTTGCAAGAGGCACCCTTGCGGCACTTCCCTTTTACAAAATCACTACAATACACAGAATATCTTTCACTTTTTAATGGGTAGTACTCGGTTGTTTCAGGAGGACTAGCATATCTCAAAGCACCACGTTTCCTGTGTCGAGTTTCCCAGCTATCGTCATACTTGGAATTACCCTCATGGAGAAATTGGCAATCACTAGCTCTCCTGCATCTCCCAGTCATATAATCTTTGCACAATTGAGCTGAAATTCCTGGCCTGCCTCTATTTCTGTCGAGGAAAAGTGATTCCCGCCTATAGCCACGATCAGGGCTCCTGCTCCAGCTCTGGCTCTTACTCCTGCTCCTGCTTCTACTTCTACTCCTACCTCTGCACATAACATCCACCGACAGCTTCTACTGTTATATGCGTCAAAAAATGCTATCTCGATTATATATTAACATAAGAAAAAGAAAAAGAGAGTCAGAAACTGACAATGAGTAAAAAAAAAGGCTAACCTCAGTGACCTTTTCCAACCACTTTTTGGGGACTGACTACGATGTTCTCTCCAGTCATCAAAACCAGGAGACATCCTTGTGCTGCAATTTTCATCTCCATCCCACACCATAGAGTCATCCATGTATCTATTGCATCTCTTATTCGTACTCTCATGCTTATGTGAACCTCTGCTTCCGGGCAAAGGTTCCCTGGAAGGCAAATTCAAATCATGCTTAGGTCTCTGCAGATCATTTGTCTCTGGAGAAGGCCAGTCACGTCCAGATTCCTTAGGACGAAATGGCCTGCCTGCCTTTCCCATCCAACTGTTGTCCTGCATATTTACATCTTCAAACTGAGGCTCTTCCACCAAATCCCATTTAGAAGACCGCTTTCGGCTGGTTCTATTCATTTCTCTCAGTCTTAAATCAACACCCTTTACGTATTCTTATTCAGAACAATCTGGAGGCATAGAAAAAACCAATCAATCTTATTACATTTCCTGATCGTTCTTTTGCTTCTTCACACTTTCTTAGTATCAATTTAAGTCTACTAGAGTGTATAAAATATTGATGTTACCAACAAGACAAAATATACATGTGAAACAATAAAACTGAATCAATGAAAACAAAAATTTTATACCATTAACTATGACCAGAACTAAGAATATATTATCAATCTAAGCTAAGTTTAATAACAATTTTTTTTTTGTCAAAAATTGAGGGCATTTCTGTTAGCACTAAAAAAATAGTCATTGCACTCCTCCCTCGACTTTTTTGCAAAAAGGAATGCAAGTTGATAATTTTGGATACTAATTACAGCTAAAATGGATTAAAATCATACTTCAATTCGATTGACCAAACAGAATATGGATGCAGAAGACAAATACAATTTGTCATAGAGCATATATCAAAAATATACAAAAGTGTACTTTTTTAAAGGTGACATGCATATAGTAGAAAAAAGTGAAATGTAAGAATACATGGAGACTGTCCAGATAAAGCATGACATGTGTAATAAGTTTTCTACTATACAGTTATACACCCTTTAATTGTAAAACACAATATTATGTTTGGAGCGGAGAGGGACCATACTCAAGATAGAAGTTCTTTCGAATAAATGTGTCCGGTTCTTAAGAACAAGAACGTGACAGGTAAGGTAATGATGATATACATATATTGATCTACTTATCCCATGGGAAAAGTTGGACATTTGTGTCGCTGGTGAAAAGCCTTGTATAGTTAGTCCCATAAAACAAAAGCCATGTGTACATTTTACACACACACACACACACACACACACACAAGCATTCATCTTTTTAGAACTGGCATATCATATGCCATAACCCTATGTTTTTGTTAACAGTTATCTGTTTTGTTTCTATACTTAAATTGGTGTGTCCTACCATCCAAGAAACAAGCAAGATGATAAGAAGTTTATTGTCAAATGTTGAAGCATCAAACACTTTGTGGGAATTCGATTTACAATCACCATTCAATACTGCTATGCATTTGGTGTGATTCACATTGTTAACAGATGCGAGGAAAGGCATACATAGAAGACAATTTTTTACACAAACAGAATGCCTTGTGTCTAGTTCCTGCTTATCATTTTGCGTCTTGTGTTTAGAATTGAAGATGAAGTAAACTACAATCTGGTGGACTTGATCAACAAACTTCCAACAAAAGAGGTGTTGAGGTAGACTCCAAGGGAGAGGCAATTCTTCGTACAGGCCTATGGTGAAGAATAGATATGAAGATGATTCCAGTTACTAAACAACGTAGTTAGCAGAAGAGGACCACATGTACTTTTGTCTCTTAGTTAGGTCAAAGACAAGTAATTGTTAATGTAGAGTTATTTTCCGAAACTTATTTGCTTTTAGAGATATATTCATTTTAAACTTTCTAAGGGAGCTGAGAATCCAAATAACCCAAAGTTAATTATTCCACCAATGTTTTCAAAAGCTTTTTGTCCCCACAAGGTTAAGCCTAAAGCCTTGTGGGCATATGAACTATTCAATTAGGTATAAATAAAAATCAAAGCAACACTATGGTCATTTAGCACCAATGGTGGCTGAATATTTTAAAAGAAATGCTGCATTCGGTTACAGAGCTTAACCTCACACCGGACACATGCACGGGCCACGCACTCTACTAAACGACCATAAGCCTAAGGTGATTTCACACCTCACCCCAAAGCAAGCTTCAAAAACGGTTTTCCAGACAATGAATTTCAAGATAGGGGGAAGGAGATTTCACACTTTACCCCAAAGCAAGCTTCAAAAACGGTTTACCAGACAGTGAATTTCAAAATAGGGGATTGGAGAGAATTTTTTCCTGGTTTCTTGTGTGTATATCAATCCTCCTTCTCAAAGATGATTTCGTAGTTTCATAAACATTAAAATCCCACATCATATTATTGGCATGGCATACATGAGTGATGGCTACCGTCAGCTGAAGTTATAGGCTGAATGAAATTGTCAACGGGAAAATAAAACAGCCTAGAGTTTTGTTTTAATGAAGTAAGGCTTTGTCCTGTGTCTTAGATATAACACGAATTGCATGGAGTAACTTCCAACAGAGAAGTCAGAGAGACACTAAGGCAAAACCATTCAATGTTTGGGGTAACATAAATTTTTGGAACAATACAATTTTCAAATCCCTTTACAACCATGACAACCATACAGAAAATCAGGAGTGAGACTTTATTTAAAGATCCTTCTGGTGCATCTATTCTTTCTCCTGTATCTTTCAAATAAAGACAAAGGAAATAGCTCAACTGAAAGGAATTACTCGCATGGATCTGAGAAAAGATCCAATCGATTCAAATTGCAGTATTATACTAGTGACCAATGGGTCAAATATAGGCTACTATCAAGAATATGTTAATCTTTACATTTGCAAGAGGCTCATGTGGACACATAAGCTCATGTATGAAATAGGAATATTCGTGGTTACTGAATGATATTATCAGCCATGACATTGACCTTGATATGTTTGAGACTTCAAATAAAAACACCCCAAATTTCAAACAATGTGAATACTTCTCATCTGACTCCAGTTACCATGTTGTAATATCAAGATACGAAAAACACCTAGCCTTAAAACCGGGAAGAACAATCAGCAATTTCCTAAGCCCTGAGCCAAATTGATGGCAACCACAAGGGAATGAAGATACGCTCACGTCTGTCTCCAAACAAGTCAATCAATTTCACCAACTAACACACGCCCAACTTCAAGCACGTAAACAATCACCGTTGCATAGCTTTTGAAAGGTAACATGAAGGCATCATATCTCTCTGCACTCGTGACATTTTGATTAAACCAAATATGCAGAATCTTCCTCAATCAACAATTATTCCTATTCAACTTTTGAAGGCTGTAATCTTTCAATAATTATGCTAACAAGCTCCTCTCTCACTTCATCATAACCCCGGTCAACATTTAGCATCAGGAGCATCAAAGTTGAAGGTTGATGAGTACTCTTCTAACTGGTTGGACTATGAAGTAATTCTATTTTTTTATTCCCAAACCCTTTCAGAGCAACCTCCAGTCTAAGAACTTATCGAATAATATGAACTATATCCCAATGTAGCTCTTTCGTAAGGATGCTATTGCAATCAGTTACTTTTCAACGAAATTGGTAATCCCTCCATGCAGTGACCCTCATGAAATTACTGCAGAAAATTATACTAGATATTAGCACCCAGGTAAATGTACTCTATTTGAGTAACATAGATCTAAAGTTTATGCTAGATCCATCTATCAAGGTGCCTATGCTACTAGAATAACAGAACGAAAGTACAAAAAAATGAAAGAGCAAGGAAACAAACAAGAAAAATCAGAATGAAAGCAAATCATTCTTAAGAAGGTGATAGCCAGATAATAGAAAGGTGCCAAAGAACAATAAGCCTCCCTACATTCGTATCTGCTACGGCTCAAAAGACCTCAACTTCTCTACTTCACATTTACCAAGACATAATTTCCTTGGCATATCACATCTCTACCTATCCATATATCATTTGACAGTTTGACCCAACATAAATTTGTAACGTAAAGGGCATACAATGATCACCACCTCTACAAGCTTTATTTTAGAAACAATAATATTCGACTAGAAGCATATACATTCAAACTAGTTAAAAGTAACTTATTGTCAGGCCAATCTACTTCTCAATAAAATTGAAACGAAAAGTAAATGAAAATAAAAACTGACTCGAATTAACTAGTTCGAAGTCCGGACACCAGTTGAGCCATACTAATTACCAAGAAACACATAGTTAAGCAACCACAAGAACTTCAAATCACACTCACAAAGTTAAAGCAGTAGAATTATTCTGGGGCATAAAGCTCAAATCTTTCTACGATAGAACAAAACCCACCTCAAATTCTCAATTGCCCACAAAAAACCAGTAAGATTTGCACTCATACAATTAAAAAAACAAACGCAAAGAACTCAAAAATACATGTAACCATAAACCCTATTCACTGAATTGAAATAAAAAAACATACAGAAATAGAGAAGAAAATATTAAAAAATAAATAATTAGGAAACCCTAAATAAGGAATTGAAGAGTAAAGAGAGGCACTTACAGAAATTAGAGAGAAACCCTAGGGTTCGATAGGAGGGAAGAGGGAGGAGGGAAGACTGAAGAGGAAAGGGGACCGGAGAGAATGACAGATTTTTACTCTGTCTATGCACAGCACACATCATTGAAAAGCTAATTTTTACTGTGGGCCCGCTTGAAGAGGAGCTGTTTTCTTGGGCTATTCACGAACAAGTCCAATTTACGGAGCCCAACATAACAAAACGGCCTCTCTCTATAAATACCAAACTCCGTAAAATTTGCTCAGTCACTACGTAAATGGCATCAATCTCATGAATTCCAGCTTTCTTTGGCATTGATCTCTCAATGGGTCGTTGCTAGCTATTAGAAACCATCTCTTCCAGCAAATTGTAAGCCTCAACTTCTGTTTTTCCCATCCAAGCTCCTTCATCTGTAGCATCAATTATAGTATTGCTTGTATAACCACTGTAAAATGATTGAACTTGCACCTGAGTTGGCAACGCACGATATGGACATTGTGGGTGCAAATTTCAAACAAGGCTAGATTGAGGAAATCACACCTGCAAAATAACAAACATCGTTAGCCTAATTGATGAACACTGAAGAAAAGTTTATCCACTCAACACGCTAATAGTTGCTTGATCTCTTAAGATTAAGAAAGATCCAAAATGAAGATGATGAAAAGTCCTTGGTCCAGATGTACCATATTTGAGTGCAATTGATGCTTTGTTATATTTAGTACAATGTATTATACTAGATATAGCTTTTTTAGTCAACTTGTTAGCAAGATATAGCTTTGCCCCAACAAGTCGACATTCAAATGGAGCTAGAGATGTTTTACGAAATTTTTGTAGGGCAATGGACATGGACCTCCTCTACTCAAAGAAGCCCACAATGACCAGAATCTCATTTGATATGCAGATGCTAGTTTTCTCTCCGATCCACATAAAGCCCACTCATAAACTGGATATGTTTTCACTTATGGAAATACAGCAATATCATGGCACTCACCGAAATGAACATTAGTTGCTATAACTTCCAATCACTTGGAAATACTTTATCTCCATAAAGCTAATCGTGAATTTTTTTTGTTAAGATCAATGATCCATCAGATCCGATATCTTCAAAAACAGACATTTCAACTATCGTTCATGAAGATAATGCAATATGTATTGCTCAAATGAAGGAATGATTCATCAAAGGTGACAAGACTAAACATGTATCTCCAAAGTTTTATAACACACATGAGCTTCAAAAGGCTAAAGTAATTGAAGTTAGACAAATCCATTCCAATGGCAATCTGGCATACTTATTCACAAAATCTCTACCAAAGTGTACATTTTTAGAAGTTGGTGCATGGTATCGGATTACGCCGGTTTATTAATCAGTTAAATTAAAGAATGCAGAATCAGGGGGAGATACATATATCAGGGGGCAGCATCCAGGATACATGCATGGTGTACTTTTTCCTTCGACTAGGATTTTTTCCACTGGGCTTTTCTATCAAGGTTCTAACTAGGCAACATAAACAAACTTAACACTAAATCAATAATCCAAGCAAAGTTGTACTCTTTTTTCCTTCGCTACAATTTTTCCCCACTAGGTTTTTTTTAGCAAGGTTTTGATGAAGCAACTCAAGTTGATATGTGGGCATCCAAGGGAGTGTTGTGAAATGCAGCATGAATGCCACATATATGAATGCAAGAAGCAAACCAACATACAACCAAAATGGACTTTGATGACAATGTTGACTTTGTATTTTAGGTAGGATTCCTAATTGATATTAATTCCGTGTAATCTTCTGTAATCTCGTGTAATTAGTTTTCTTCCTATTACATTAGGGTTGTACACCTTGTATAAATACCTCTCATTGAAAAGAAAAAAATCATCATTCAAAGCATTCTCTTCTTGGCATCAAAGCTAGGTCGGAAAAAAATGGAAAAAAACCCCTAGCTGCGATAGCATTGTCGTGGCTCAGTCGTGTTTAGTGTGCTGACCTTGATTAGCGAGAGATTATCATCGTTGTTATCCCTCGATCAGCGAGCTACTGTTGTCATTGTTACCCTCTCTGAATTCAAAACGAACAGCGAGCAATGCCGTCGTTGCTGACCTGAATTCGTCGAATCGTTACACTTTCCGTTGTGTGACACAATAGACTAATTAGTCTGTTTGGTTTTGATTTGATCTGAAACTTGAGGATTGCACAAATTGTAAACCAAACGACTTGTGTTGTTGTGCCATACCCGACTCGAGGTCCAACGAGCCACGAACCAGCGGAGATCCTGACCCGCTAGAATTAATGTCTGAACCATGAAGCCACAACGAACCCCGACCTGCAGCTGTATTGCTACACACACGAGCTTTGATTCGTACTCACATGCGACTTCTGTCAGTTGCGAAGAACCCACCATCACCACTGCTTCAATCCTCTTTGAAATGAAATGTTGCTATTGTCTTTGTTGGAGTCTTAAACCACCACACCACCGCTGCTCTTTAAAAAGTAAAAAGAAAACAAAAAACAAAAAAAAAAAAAAAAAAAAAAGGAAAAAAAGAAAAGGGGAATCAAAACAGAAGAGAAAAGAATTGGTGGTGTTAGGCATTTTTTATTCTTTCTCTTTTGCCCATACTGATTGCAGCTGCGCTTGGGCCAAGTATATTGGAGATTGGCCTTTTATCCATCACTTACTCACTTTGCACCGAGAGCAATGGTAGGCCAAACTTGTCAAATCAATAGTGATTGATCCAAAATTCTTGAAGATTCTTCTTATCATCCACCTAGCAAATGTTCTCACTGCGGTTTGGAAGGACATTCGAAAAATCGATGTTTCAAGCTTATTGGTTATCCTGATAGTTGGGACAAGACTCGTGACCCTCGTTATAACAAGTCGCGTGCATTGATTGCCGAAGTTAAGGTAAATTCTGATCATATAGATAATGATGGTAAGGTATTAAATGTTTATGCATCTATTACAAATAGGTCATGGATAATTGATTATGGTACTACTGAACATATGACTTGTGACTCTAGACAGGTACAAACCCTAAAATCATCCACCAAAACTGTCGTTATTGTTGCCAATGGTAATGTTGCCCCCGTTATTGGGAAGGCGATGTCTCACTCTCTAATACCCTTAATCTTGACTATGTACTTGTTGTTCTTTCTCTTGACTATAATTTATTATCTGTTACTCAAATAATTGTCGCCCTACATTGCCTTGTGATTTTTTGGCCTTCCTTTTGTGTTTTTAAGGACATTCGAACTCGCTAGATGATTGCTTATGGTATTAGGAAAGGGAAGCTCTACTACTTGGAGCTGACATCGAACAATACCCGAATGTTGACTCAAGCTTTTGTTGTGGATCTCAGGGTGAGAAGAATAAAGTTTCGAAGGTTTGGTTGTGGCATCGTCAACTTGGACATTCTTCTTTCGACTATTTACGGAGGTTGTTTCCTAGCCTATTTGTTAAGCGTGATGTTTATAGCTTTAAATGTGGTGTTTGTGAACTAGTTAAAAGTCATCGTGCTTTGTTTCGGTCTAGTTTGAATAAAAGTTCTCTTCCATTTAAGATAATTCATTCTGATGTTTGGGGTTAATCTAAAACTACTACATTTGGTGGTGCTCATTGGTTCGTTACCTTTATTGGTGATTACACACGTATGACTTGGGTTTGTTTGATGAAATCCAAAAGCGAAGGTACTTCTTTATTTCAGCAGTTTTACAAAATGGTACAAGTACATTATAAGTCACAAATATAGGTTCTCATAAGTGATAATGGTGGAGAATATGTTAACTCTGAACTTCGTGCCTTTCTTGATCATCATGGGATTGTTCATTAATACGAGCATATTTATGCGACTTAGTTTGCTTGTATTCTTGTTTTGAAATAGTTAGTTTCTATTTATTATAGTGTTTTAAGCCATTTTCGTTTGTTTGTAGGTCAAAATGACAAAGTTGGCAAGAAAGTGCAATTTAGAGCTATTTAGAGTAGTTTTGGGTTTGGAATGGATAGCACATGCATGGAGCAAGGTGGATGGATGTTTTTGAAGATTAAAAGAGGCTAGAAATGTGATTAACATCTGGAAGAATTAATTCAGGACTTAGAAGATAAGGAATCAGCTATAAAGAGGGAAACATTATCCAAATTACCTTATCTTATCCAACCTTATCTTATCCTATCCTAATCATTTGCTACCTTAATTCCAGCTGCAAGGAAGACATCTAAATGACATTAGGATACCTAAATATCAGGTTTCTAGAAGCCATATCCCTATCCCTAAATCTATGCCGCAAGGACCATTCCTTTTCCTCCTTGGAATCTGAATAAAAAGTGTCATTTTCCCTTGATGATTTGGAGTCCTAATTCCCCTCCTTTTCAGCCTTTGCCGTGCCCTCCCTTCTCCCTATAAATACTTGGTGCCGCAACATTCATTCATCACCATCTCTCACCACAATTCATAACACATATCCATCATACACAGAAATCTCTCATTGTGTCGCAGCTTTGCAAGGAGAAAAGAGAGGAAACCCTTGGAGTCGTGCCTTGCCATTCAAGCTTGGATTGTTGGAACGTCTTAGGTGTATTCTATCTTTTGCTTTCAATGTTTAATTTGAGTTATCTTTGTTTAAGTGCGAACATGAGGAACTAAACTCGTTTTAGCTAGAGGTGGATTCAAAACCATGAATATATATGTGATATGAATTGATTTCCTCCAGTTATTGTTTTGTAAAACATGAATGCAATTTACTTATCTGTTTGATTGATAACTTATTCTTGTATGTTAATTAAGGAGGCCTACTTAGTTTGCATGCCTAAATTTGATTCTAAAATATAAGGGAATTTCACCTAATCGTTATGAACTTATATTTATAAGTAATGGAGGTTGTTAGTCACAATCGCATTAAGTAAATCCATGGCAAGAGTATCATGCAGTTGATAGTTAGGAATGCCTTGTCAATGCTTATGATTTTCATAGAACTTAATCATCTTTTATATGTATCTCTATTATGATGTTCATGTAGGGAACTATTGAAGAATAATTTGGTTGCCGATGCGTTATCCATCCAATTCAATGACTTAAGGAAAATCTGAGGGTTAATTAGTGCTGTTCACAGTTAATCTGGGGTGTTGTCATTCATGGTTTAT